CCTCCGCTTTTCTGAATTTCCTTGGTGGGGCTGGTGGCCGGTTCTCGGAGCTCCGTGGCGAAGAGTCGAGGGGGCTGGTGGCCGGTGCCATCACTTTCACAGCATTTTAAAAGTCACGTATCTCAAAACACTCCGCCTATAAATATATATTGGACTTCGTATACATCTACCTGCCCTCGCCAGCCCCATGCAAGCCTGAAGTCAGGCCACACCAACCGGCCGACGGGTCTCGAAGATGGTCAAACGGGTTTTGTCAAAAATGACAAGGGTCCGCTTATATACATCAGGCTTCTTGCCTTATACGGCTCCGAATTGGACCCTATTGGGCGTGTTCCCTAGCAAGTGAATTGCTTATGTTTTAAACATATTCTGCAGACCCCATCCTCCTATATATACATCTGATTTTGACTTATTTTCGGTCGAGGCTTGGCCACCCCTGGTGGCCGGTGTTTTCTGGGTCGATTTTTGGCCGTGCCCCCTGGTGGCCGGTTTTTTTTTCGGAGGTCCGGACGCACTTGCACAAGTGTTTTGACACGATGCCCTTTGAAATGTATAATTGTCTAGCTTGTCATCCGATCATCGCGCGATCGAACATGCATGAGCCGCGCCGTGCGAAGGTCACTTCCGCGTACTCTTATAGCACGCATGCCAACGGGACCGGAGTCTTCGGTGTCTTACACAAGCTAGGCTGCCAGATGATATATGACTCATGGTGAAAAGCTGAATTCATTGAAGCTAGTCTTACCGTACAGACAACCAACTTACGATCATGGCATGTCATTGCCCTGATATGGTATGATATCGAGCTCAATACGGGATACTTCTTCATAAGTATAAGACAAGCAATTTATTAGCAGAATCACATGCACATGTGATTCCAATCATCGTTGCGATCGGACACGGACGCCATTGCGCACCGATTAGGGCGGTGACGGTGACTCATCATTGGCCTTAGTAAGAACATTCTTTGCCCCCTAAATGCAATTATCCAGTCGTCTGCATGCCAAGCCCGGAGGCCATCTCAGTACCACATATGACTGCGAGGGCCAGGGCTCCATCGGAGCCTTCCTAGAAGACTTCGTAAGCGTGAATCTCCAACTCAAGATCTAAGGTTAGCTTTCAGTTTTGCCGTGCTGAATCTTGTATATCGGAGTCACTAGGCTAGGCTAGTACATATTTACACCACCTATGCCGAAGCTACTACACGTTTCACATGCCTAGGCAGTCCGGTCAATTCTACAGGTTGATTTATGCTTCATACAAACAGCGGCTCTGCCTCGCGTGACTCTGATGGACCTCAAAAATACCTTTCAATGTTCTTTGACTTCTCTATAACAACACTGCTTGCCAGTTGCCAGCGGCTCAAAGTTGCGGATGGTGCAGACCCTGCGGCAGGTGCGGCATGACCCCAAAGTGTGTCCCATGGTGCAGAAGCATCATCTGGTGTTGTTGCTGCGGGTCATAGTGCATCATCATGGGTGGCGGATGATGCTCGACTGCCTGGTAAACTGTGTGCGATTGGTCTAGCTTCAAGCCCGGATAGCCCTCTTCTATCCCTGCGTCTATCACACCCCGACGACCCCGTTTCCGCTTGGCTTCCTTGATGAACGGCTCCTCCTCGGTGACCGCGAACTGCGGCTGTCTCCCCTTGAGCTGCGCCAGCCGCAGCTGCAGGAACGCTTCTTGCGCGAGGCTGCCCGCCAGCTGCAGCCGCACCTGCACCACGGCGCCGCATCAAACACATTAACGCTACCGGCTCATACGCACTGGCCTCACATGCCTTGCTCTCCTATTTGGGGTTCTGTAGCCGGAGCCCAACTGCGCCCAATCAAGTGCGCTCACCTCCTCTGCTCGGCGCGTGGTGGGGTCGGCGAGGCCCGCCCCCAGCTTCTGCATCTGCCCCCACAGCTGGTTGCGCCGCTCGCTGCTGCTGTCCAGCAGCGCCTCCAGCGTCGTGGGCACCCCCGCCGGCGCCACCTCGTACAGCGCCTCATGGCTGGCCACGCCAAACGAGCCCAGCGACGCCTCCAGGGGGGCCTCCAGCGCGCACACCGTCGCGATCTGGGCCTTGCTGCGCCGGGGCCGCCGCTGGCAGACAGCAGCGCAACCCAGTCAGGCCCGGGGAAGGGGGCGCAGCAGCCCTGGAACAGCACACAGACAAGACCCAAGAGGGGCAGCCAAGGGTCCACGGTCCATCAAGCAATGGTCCAGTGCCGCAAAAAGTGTGGGCAACATCGGCATCGAACAGCCCGGTACAAACAAGCTTGATGAAGGCTCCCTCTTTCGCCTCCTCACAACCTTGGTGATTGAACTGAGTGCTGCACGCAGTTGGTGTGCGGTGGCTGACCTTGTCCCGTGGCTCTCGTGGGGCGCTGCGACGGTCCCTGCGGCTGTACTTGGCGGCGGCCAGCCCCTCCAGCGCCGCCTCTGCGCAGAGCAGCAACAGCAGCCTCAGCAGGCAGCGCAGGAGAGGTCCGACCAGGCTTCTGCGAGGACGCCCCCTGATTCTGCAAGAGCACAGCGCTTGACACGTGCAACAAGCGGCCGCATGGTTGCTGCGGGCGCTCACCGTCGAGCAGGGCCTGGCCAAAGACCTTGGCGTTGGTCAGGGAGTCTGGCCCGTCGCGCTCCACCATGGCGCGGTCGTACGCCAGCGCGGCCGCCGCCTCTGTGTGGTACTCCCCCTGCGTCAAACACCGCAGGCAAGGCGTGAGCTGCCGGGGCAGTCCTGGCATTTGCTGGGCGCCACATGAGGCAGCCTATCAAGAGCAGAAGCTGATACGGCTTTGGCTTTTCATATGAGCTAAGCTGAGGTCACCTGTGAAACCTGTTGAGCAAACCCCACTGTTCAAAAGTGTGGGGCAAGAGCGTGCCAGCCCAGGAGGGGGCGCACTGCGACGCTCGCTGCTGTGTGCACCCCGTGTTGACCCACAGCCAACTGGCCTGCACTCACCAGCTTCAGGACTTTGCCGTCACGATTGATCTGCGCTCGCCACTTCCGCGTCTCTGGCCTGCAGGGGGCAACTCCGCACTTTGAGAGCAATTCCAGACTGCTCGCTCAATCTCAGGCTGAGGCTGACTGATCCTGTCCACATTTCAATCAGGCCCAATGATGGCAAGCAGCGAACATCAAAGCAGATGCGTGGGGCAGCACTTTTTGAAAGCGGTGCAGCTGCCGGCAGGCCTGGCAGGCAGGTCCCCCCTTGCGGGCTGCTGCTCACCGGTAGGTGACCCCCTTGTAGCGAGAGGACCCCCGGTGGAAGGAGCGCTTGGTAGCCTCCCATTTGACGGCTGCCACAAACTCGTCCTCGTCAATGGAGTCCAGCTCGGCGCGCTCGTCCTCCGTCAGCTCAAAGTTGAGGTCCGCCTTGTCGCCACACACCTTGTAGGCCAGCCTGGAGAGAGGGCACACATGGAATTGCGGGGCGAGAAGGGGGCCAGGCTGCCACTGATAAGGCCGGACTATCAGGGGCCCTCACGAAACTGGTCCTTCGACAACCTTCGAGAGGGGCACAATGACCACAAAAGTTTTGCACTTGCCGCTAGGCACGCTAGGCGCAAGCTGAGCCACAGCACGTCACACTACAACCACCAACCATGTCAGCCCGCTGTTAAGAGGCGGCCACATTGGCGGGTGGCCACGTACTTGTCCCGCAGCTTGGCGGCCTCCTCCTCCACCTCAGGCCCCACAATGTCGAGCTGCTCGTGCGAGCTGCGTTTCATACGAATGCGCCATTTGTTGTGGATGTAAAAGATGCCCTTGAAGCGCGACTTCACGGGCTCTGCTTCCGGCACTACCGGAATGCTGAACGGCGTTGCATCATTCATTGTTGGCTGCCACCCAACTCAATAGCACTAGTCAGATGCAGGTACTGTCAAGCGGCGTCTCAAGCCATCAATGCATGAAGCTCAATAATAATGTACACTTTTTGTGGCACAGCTATCAAGGTCCGCTTCTGGCACAATTGAAGTGAAGCCAATAAGCTACAAAGCAGCCCCTTCTCATCTCCCCCGCTCTTGTTCTCAGTACCATATCTCAATGTAGGCGCACCTTTCACAAGGACCGTGCGTTCTGCAAGAAAACGGAAGTGGCATCTGATTCTCCTGACACCTGAGTCCTGCCACTCTCACTCTTCTTTCACTGAAAGTGTCAGCTCGCTAAGTTTTCACACAAATGCAAATTGAAGTAGCTTGGTTTAAAACGTATTAAAGATGATGTTTATCAAGGTGACCCAATTTATCTATGAGTATTCGAAACGGGGTGCTATATGCGCCGCGCCGCCGGCCGGTCCTGTCTGCTACCGGTAACTTATTATTAGGTAAGGTAGGCCTAGCTAGTGTATAACACTGTCAGTCTGTCAAGAAGCCGGGCGCCTCATGTTCAGCAACATATATAACAGATTTTTAACTGGAGAGCACAGAGGATGCCGCTTATATTGTGACCAGCGAGCGAATATACATTTGGTTCCTTAAAGATCTTGATTCTGGCCATGTGCTGGCTTGTGCTGATCTCGTGCCACAACTCTTCCCTGTGCTTCTGGCAGCCTGATTCCTGCACCTGAGCCTGGAGGCCTGCTGAAGATGTTCAAGCTGCACTTCGCTGAACATTATCTGCTTTCTGTCGCCTCTCAACAAGGGCGCAATTTGCCAAGGTCCTTAGTTAGGAGCTCGACGCCAGCTTGCTGAGTGCACATTTGCCTACACCTCAAAGCTTGCATTGCACATCTGTTTTTCCTGCGATTTGGGTGAATTGCCGGCTGCATTGCATTCCCATAGGACCTTCCATCATGAAGGCCGTCCAGCAATTGAGTACCCAGGCATTCCAAGCATGCTTCTCCTCGTCAGTTTCTGGCCATGCTGCGCAGTCTCCTGCTAACAGCAGGAACGCGCCTAGAGGCGTTCCTCGCAGGCAGCCCCGGTGGCAGCGGGCCCCAGTCTGTCGGGCCGCTGGCGAGGGGGTGACCACCCTGCCCAAAGGGCCCAGTGCTGGGGGCAGCCCCTCCTCGGCGGTGCGGCCGGACCTGACTGCCACGCTGGGGGCGGTGGTGAGCGATGCTGCGGTGCCGGAAGGGCACAAGGGCCTGCACGGTTTCCTATATGGTGACGCGGGGGCAGACGTGCACGACGACGGTGCGGCGTTCCAGGTGCGTGGGGAGGAGGATGACGGGAGCGCGCTGGTGGGGCTGCAGCAGTGGCTGGCGGGGCGCGAGGCGGAGCGGCCGCCGGGGGTGTATGCAGTGTACGACCAGGGGGGCGACCTGCAGTACATTGGCTACTCGCGCAACCTGGTCCTTACGCTCAAGCAGCACCGCGCGCGGGTGGGGCCAGAGCGCAGCGCAGGGGTCCGCGTGAAGGTGTATGCCAATGCAGCGCTGGTGTCTCGCGCGCGCTTGGAGGAGGAGCGGCAAGCGTGGCTGGCCCAGCAGCCAGTGCCACCTGGCAACGGGCCTGAGAGGGACCTCTGGGAGGGGACAGGGCCCGCCACCGCCGTCATGACAGAGGCGGAGAGGGGCGCGTATGAGGAGAAGAAGCTTAAGATGAGGAAGGCCATGGGTGAGGCGCACGGCCCCGGCTGCTTTCTCGACCACCGCACTCGTGCTTTAGGGCTTCTTTGATTCCACAATGCTGCCACCTGGCGGTCAGTATTGGCGAAAGAAAAGGGTTGTTTATTCCTCATATCACTGTGGTGTTGGCTTTGACTGTCCGTCCTTGTAATGGTCAATTGAATAGTGACAACGTGTCTTGACACGTACAGTTATTTAGGGTCCAGGGTCAGGATTGTCAGGAGCATCCCCTCCACGTTTGCGCTTCAAGTCAATCCCCTACGCTATTTCCGCACGTCTGACCCTTGCCGGTGGTGCAGGCGAGAACTTGTACGACGCTGTGGAGGGAGAGGACGCGGACGCGCGCACGCGGCGGTTGCGTCTGCTGGCGGCTGTGGAAGGCGATGACTGGAGCGGGGTGATTGATGGGCAGACACAGGAGACACTGGCGCCGCCGCAGGCACAGCGGGCGGCGGCTGCCGCTGCGGCCATCGAGGCAGCCAAGGTACGGGGGGACACACTACAAGCAGCGCTCTGCAAGAGATTGGGGGAAGCAAGCCAGGCTTTTTAGCCAGCAAGCGTAGGACCTTGATTGATAAGCCGGTGCTGGACTCACGCCAGTGCTTACAGACAGACGAAGGGGTCTTCTACTCACATCCTAGAGTGCGCATTGTTTAGAATGGGGCGATGTCTGATTCAGGCCTTATCTTAGCATTGCCCCCGGATAGGCGTCAGGCCACCAGCCCCTGCCTGCCAAACTCTTATGGGTTTTTGAATCAGAGGGGCGTCTGACGGACCCCTGGCTCTTCCTCTCCCTGCTGCAGGCTGCGGTTGCTGCCAAGCCTCAAATTGTGAGCCCCTTTGCCCGCCCCAATGCCCCAGCCCTGGGCGCCCCTGCGGCGGAGAAGCCTGCCACCGTGATGAGCGTGGAGAGCGTGGACCGCGTGCTGGACGGCGTGCGGCCGTACCTCATTGCGGACGGGGGCAACGTGGAGGTGGTGGGCGTCGAGGACGGGATCGTCGCGCTGCGCCTGCAAGGTGCGCCTGCTCAGTCCCCTCGTACCCCTGCGAAGGCGGGCCTTTTCTGCGCCGCTTTGGTGCGAATCTCTGCCCCTCTGTTAAGGTCAATGCTATGAACAGGGCTATGAAGCCGAGTCAATCCTCTGGCCCTCGCTCCGCACCTTGAGGGCCCCCACTTTATCCCTTGTGCATGGTGCAGGTGCGTGTGGGACATGCCCCAGCAGCACGGCCACGATGCAGATGGGCATTGAGGCGGCGCTGAAGGCGCACTTTGGGGCGGCGCTGCAGCAGGTGGTGCAGGTGGACAAGCAGGACATAGGCGCCACGCTCGAGGTGAAGCAATCCCTGGCAGTCCAGTGACCATGAATCCTGCACATTCGGTAGGGAGTTGTGATCTTTGTGTACTGTTGCAGGCGTCCTCTTGCTGCTATCTCACTGCTCACTCCAGGACGGGACCCTGAGAAGGACTAGAGCGGATTGCTGACGTCCTGAGCGCGTGTGTGCGTGGCAGGCGGTGAACTCGCACCTGGACATTTTGCGGCCGGCCATCACCAACTACGGCGGCAGCGTGGAGGTGCTGGCGGTGGACACGCTCAAGGGCAGCGCGGATGTGCGCTTCAAGGGGCCCGCCCCGATCGGCATGGGCATCCAGGCGGCCATTAAGGACAAGTTCCCGGACATCAAGAAGGTGAACCTGGTTGAGTGACCGCACGCTGCGTTGCTGTCGTGTCACTGTGTTGTGTACCATAGGGACAGGCTGCGCAAACACGGAGTAGAAGTCCTTACAGGTGAAGAACAGGAACTAATGAGCTGCAGCAATAAGGCCGGAGGACAAGAATAACTTTTCAGCGACATCAACTTTTCTTTCATCAGATGCTTTTGGGTTTTTTTGGGGTATGAATATAATTCCATTAGTCTCTTTGCAAAGTGCATGGTGCCCAGGCGGCAATCACTAATAAGTTTTCAGCGACAACAACTTTTCTATCATCAGATGCTTTTGCGTTCTTTTGGGGTATGAATATGAATCATTAGTCTGTTTGCAAAGTGCATGGTGCCCAGGCGGCAATCACTCATAACTTTTCAGCGCATCAACTTTTCTATCATCAGATGCTTTTGGGTTCTTTTGGGGTATGAATATAATTCATTAGTCTCTTTGCAAAGTGCATGGTGCCCAGGCGGCAATTACTGGCGGCTAGCCCGTTACTGGGCTGGGGCCTTGAGGCCGCCGAGTGTGGCAGACCGTCAATGGATGGATACTTATTATGATGCGTGGAAGTTGTTGCTGGCAGTCTTAATTGATTCTTAACGGCGGCGGCACTCTTTCCCGTCGCTTGAATGGGCTCACTGAGGCAGTCCGGCCAATTTGAAAAGTATGTGCCAGATCTGGCTTCGCATCCCAACGCCCGGCACGCCGCCCATGGTATACACGTGCATGCATACGAGGGCCGGCAGCATGCATATATCATGGCAGCAAT